GTTCCCCCAACATGCTCAGCTGACGCTCTGGGAGGCAGTTTCGGAACTGTTCAGATCGCTGCAGGGAGAAGAGGAGGAGGAATTGGGCTCCTCCATGCCTGAGTCGGGCCAAGCCACTTATCTGTCCATAGACACTGGGGTTCTTCTTCGAAACAGCTAAGGCCCCACTAATTTGTATTGTCAATAGTGGTAACCAGCAGATTTTCTGTAAGGTGTGACCAAGGCAATGAGTTGATATCATCAAGAGGTGGCCATGCCTGAGCTGATTTGCTGACTGACTGCCTCTCACATAATATAAAACACTCTCCCCTTCACCTCCTCCCCCAGGCCTGGGAAGGGGGGTCCTTGTTGAAGATATGGGGCTTTTCTGCCATCCTTGTGACTCAGCTTCACCCCATCTCTTCTTGGAGAGGTCCACAACCCCACATTCCTGCGTGGTGGCAAGGCATCACCATTCCTCTGCTATACAAATGAGAGACAGAGGTTAGAGAGAAGGGGGAAATGCACGGCGCTTACCCCCCTGGGGGGTTCCTGGGGGCATGTGTGATACACTGGAAGTGGACTTTCAGATATTGGTGGCTTTGTTCAGTCCTTGCCATTCTCTAACCAGAATTAGGGTTGAGACAGACCACAGCAGTTCTAGAGAGCCCAACCAGGAGTGCTCCCTCCCTTTTAAAGATTTAAACCACCAGGTTTCTGAAATGAATAACCAGCACCTCCAGTAGCAGCCTCACTGTAGAGGGACACACCCCCATACACACACACACACACACACACACACACACACACACACACACAGAGTTCCCTAAGCAAGACCCACTTTGCAGCCGAGCAAGGAGTACAATTTGCTGAAGGGTGCGACCCTGAGAGCGGGAGACATTACACTTTACTCAGGGAACCGAGGCAGGCAACTGGCCCTGTGACTGCAGCCAACAGCTTTAAGAACACAGTTCTTCCTGCTGCAAGGCAGAGAAGAAACAGTTGTCTTTGCCTCTTTCTTCTTTGCAGTTATTATCCAAGAGGCTTTCCCCACCCCAGTCCACGGCACCATCCTCAGTGTTTCAGATAATCCATTGGCGGTGCCCAAAGGGGGTCCCCAGGCAGGCGGGTCTGGGGCCAAAGAGGGCGGCTCTCCCTGCGCGGAATCCTTCCCTGGTGGCTCCCAAATCAGGCGTTTTCTCTGCCTGCATTTCCCTCGGGGGAGACTCGAGAGGCTGCAAAAATCTGGGCGCCCGTTCGCTCGCTTGTCAAGAAGCAAACTGTCTTCACATTCTCCAAGAGCAACATCCCTGCCTAGGAAAAGGAAAGAAGAGGCAAAATAAATAAAACCAGTTAATGTTGTAGTTAACTTGCAAATCAAGTAAATCTGTTGGTGCCGTATTTGAGAAATAAACCATCAGAGCGTCACAGCAAACACACACTTCTGAACGTCTTCATTTTGATTTAATGGTATATCAGCGTCAACTATCGCTTCCTCTGCTGGTACACACGGCCTGATGCCGCGGGAGGAGGGTGCCCATGTTTATCACCGAGTGAGATGACTAATTACACCTTGTCAATCACCGGCTATGAAGACATAAAACCAGCGCGCACAATGAAGTAGTTGCCTGCAGCGTCAATTAGTTGGCGATTCGGCGGTTATTGCGTGGCCCTGCTTTGGCCGCCTCTAATAACGGGACGGAGCTCCGGGAACAGCGCACTGATCAATCACCCTCCTTCCGCGGCTGCCGGGCTCCCGCCCCCTCTTCCCCCGCCAGGCCCGGCCTCACTTTCTCTGGGCGGCATGTGCTTCCTCCCTCCGCGGCCCCGGCTCTGTGGCGCCGGCAGCCCCGGGAGCCCCGGGAAGTTTGCGCGCCCGCAGCTCCGCAGCCGGCAGCCGGGAGCCCCGCAGCCTTCGGGGAGCGCCGGGGCTGGTGGCCCCTTTGTTGGAAGAGGCGTGGAGGGAGCGCTTTTGTTCTGAGTTAGTCACGGTGGCCGGCTGGAGGCTGCTACCTCATTATGCGCCCGGTCTGTCTGTCTGCGAGGAAGCAGATGGTGGGGAGGTAGGCAGCGGCGAGAGTAGCCAGACCTGAATTCCGTTCACCTGTCACCTCCCACAAAAGGCAGGTTCAAGGGACCTAGGGAGTTTCTTCCCCTACCTGGGGGAGGGGCGTCGAGGGGCCGCTGTTTCCGGCGCCCCAGAAGGTTCCATATACCCGCGGTTGCCTGCGCCCCCCACCCCCTGCCATCCCCTCGGCTGCGGCTTCTCGCACCGCGTAAATGTCACTCACGTGTCAGGGTGTGTGTTTACAGCCTGTTCCTCTCCTTGTTTAGTCTCCGCGGACAGGGCTCAGCGGTTGTACCACGTCCCCCCGCCGCTGGGGGAGATTAGCAAAGTTACCGGCCTCTGAACCCGGGGGCGGGGAGGGGTCCCCAGATCCCGTGGCGGGAAATGGGTTTGAGCCTTTTGCAGACCGGAGCCCGTCCCAGCCTGCCACAGAGGGATAAATAGGCGGGCGCTCCCGGCGGGAATCCTGACTGCCAGGGAATTTGGGGTAGGTCAGCGATGGGTGTGGGCTGCTGGTCAGTGAGGTGTCGAAGAAAGCGTGCGCTTACAGATACGGGGGAAGTGCAGAGACGCAGGGTGTGTTTCCACGTTTCTTGGGAAGCCCGCGGCAAGAGTTACCGAGTGCTCCTCCCCCCGCCCCGCAGCTCCTAAGGCAGCCCCTCGAGTTCTCGAAAACGTATTGCAACCACCAGCCTGGGCGCAGAGCTGCACCAAGGACAAACACTCCAGCGTTGTTAACAATTTTTTTCCTACACGTTGGGCGACCTCCCAATGAACCCCACTGACTCCCAGATTAGATTTTCACTCCCTACTTTCTTTGAAAGAAAGTACCCCAGATGCGTCAGTTAGACATGCTTGTGTTTTAGGCATCCGTGTGGCTGGGCGCTGGCCGTGTGCAGGCGCCAGAGCACACGTCTGTGTGAACACTCGCACACGCGCACCTTTGGGATTATGGTCCTTTCCTTGCCTCGCCTTGGGGCATCTGTGCATGTGCAGCATGAACACACATACTTGTAACTTCAAGAGTTTTGCAAATATGCAAAACATGGCCTCAGAGAATCGTGTGGCCTCGGAGAATCTTTCGCAGGGATCTAGGTAGAGTTGCCTGAGTGTGCAACTGTACATATAACTGTGCAAGTTTCCAGTTTATAGATGCACCCTCCTGCCTGGCACTGTACACATACTGGAAGTGCACGCGCTAGCTCTACATTCCTGCTGGCCGTGTTTTTGCCAACAAAGATGAATGTGTGCATTTGCACACATGAGCATGACTGTGCTTGGACATTACAAGCACACGTATATTTATGTCTGAAACTTATATAAGATTTGTGTAAAGTATGATTTTGTGCTGCCTCAATTCTATGCCCTGTAAGATAAACTACACAGATCCTGGCTAGCCCCTTACCTCCTGTTGGCAATCAAGTCACTTCACACTAACCCGCCTCCAAAGCAGAGCCAGGAGACGGGACTCTATAACTGACTAGCTCATTCAGTTTTTCTCTACAATCACCTTTTATTTCCTAAATCCCGCTTCACCACACACCCGGGTATCGCTCCCAAGAGATTCTTGGTTGAGCCTGAAGTCTGGGGGTTGGGGTGGCAGTTGGGATTTAGGCGGCAGGCCAGGTTGGTGGAGAAGTGGTGCTGCCAGGAGGCAGGATGGATGCCCTTCAGTAACTGGGTCTGTGGCATGAGGCACCCAGCGGACAGAGAATGGGCCTGTGGTTTTTAAGAACCTCACTGATGCCTAATGTAGCTCGGAGTGGGAAAGTTTTTTAAAGGGGGGAGAGGGAAAAGGAAGTGATGAAAGAATTTGCTTAGTGCCTACTATGTTCCAGGCATTTTACAGCCGTGATCTCTTTCACTCATCACATCCAAGTGGAGAGGGCTTTCCTGTCCCTCACTTAAAGATCAGAAACAGGCTTAGGGAAGTTAAGTCACTTGCCTAAGGTTACACTGCAAGTAAATGGCAGAACTAGGATCCGAACCCATGCCTTTCCTAGTTCCTACAGCCATGCTCGCACCCACTCTTCCAGGCTGGAGAGAGACCGGGAAGAGCGAGGAGCTGCATACTGGACCATTAATTGGGCCCTAGCTCACTTGAAGAGAGGATAAGCTGGCTGGCCCCACTCCCCAGGAGCCACAGCTCCCACCGGTTCTTGCCTCTCTGGCTCAGCCGGGTCCGCAGGAGTTCTGCGCGGCAGTCCGCAGCCCGCGGCGCGGAGCCTGGGCCGAAGGCAGAACTCGGCGGGAAGCGGCCCAAGGCTCTCCCAGCTCTGCTCCAAGGCCTGCCTTCCCAGGCCTCCCCAGCCGGTGCCCGAGGGGCAGCTCCGGGCCGAGGGGAGACCAGAGTGAGACCTCCTCAAGCATCCTCTGGTGGCTGCGCCTTCATAGGATGGAGACGGCGGGGAAAGAGGGTTTAAATTTCCTTCCCGAAGCAATCGCAGGAAACTGTTTGTAGCTTAAAACTCTAAACCCCGCGCTCTCCCTCCTCCCTCCCGCCCCCGCCCTCCAGCCTCGCCCACCAGCTCCCACCATCTCGTCGCTCCTCTCCTCCTCTAGCTGCTCCCCTCCCTCTCGGGTCTCCCGCCTTCCCGGAGCACGCGCTGCCAGGGCCCGGGGTGCCGGGCGGCCAATGGCGCGGCAGCAGGACGTGATGTCAGGCGCGGCTGTAGAAAAGGCGCGGACGCTTGGCTGGCGCGGACTGCAGAGCCGGGGCTGGGCTCGGCGCGCTCTTGGAGAGCATTGCGCGCGGCTGGGCCCGCGGCCGGCGGCTCCTCCTCCCACTCTGCTCCTCCTCCTTTTTTCTCCTCCTCCACCTCCTCCTCCTCCACCTCCTCCACCTCCTCCTCC